TTTTTTTTTTAACATAATGTTGCAAATTTTAAATGGCCCAACGTGTGTATGGATAGGGTGATGGGATGCCACAGCTGGAAGGGAAAAAACTGTCTTTTTGCTGTCTGAATTTTCAGAAATACATTCATGCCCAAACAAGGTAAAAAGATAAATTTTTTGACTTTTTTAATAACTTTTTATCTTTTTTAGAGTATGCCAAACATGTACTAACATCAAAATGAAGATGAATCCATTACATTTAGGGTTGGTTTTGGATGTGGGTTGGCTTCTTGACTTTTTAACTATTTTAGCCTGGTGTTAAAAAATCTCATTTGAAATATATTTTTTGATTTTTTTGACTTTTATAAGAGAAAAAATAAAATAATTATGAATTAAATATAATATTTTATCCTATTTAATTAAAATAATCAATTTTATTCTATATAACTATTTTAGCCCACACATTTATCCCAAATGAGGTCTTAGACAATCTCCAACGGTTCACCAAACTTGACATCAAATTTGAAATTTAGTGAAAAAATCACTTGTTAAAGCTCCAACGGTTTCACCAAACTGGTATCAAATTGAGAATTGAACAAAAAAATCATCAAATTGAGAACAGGATACAGATTTTAACAAATTACTGTTTGTGACCGTTGGAGGAGAGGAACCAGTCAACCAGCCGGTTGACCAACCGGTCCACCACGAAAAGGTTCAAACAGTTCAAATGGGTAAACTCAAACAATTCAAAAATATATATATATATATATATATATATTTTTGCCTTACCGGTCGACCACTAAAAGGTTCAAACAGTTCAAATAGGTAGGTTCAAACAATTCAAAAATAAATAAATAAATTTTTTTTTTGCCTTACCGGTTGACCAGCCAGTCGACCAACCGATTGTTCCTGAAACAAATTTGATGAAAATTAATCATTAGAATATTCTGTATCAAATTAAAAAAATAATTATTTTTTTATTTAAATTTAATAAAAAATTAGATAAACCATTAAAGATCCTTTAGCATTTCTTGTGCTCTAGTATGAACCTAAATATATACCTTGCTTCCCAAGCACTACTTTCTTTCCCAATCTTTTTCCCATCTTCCAAGATGTTTTGGTCACTAAAGAACCCTTTTTGTAATAATGTACTATATCTTTTCTCTTCTCTACTTTTTGGACGGCTATCAATCACTTTTTGTCATCCAATATTCATTTCGACTAGATTCCTTCATCATGTCATCTTCTTTCATGCTATAAATCCCCCTCTCATCCTACACGTTTCACTATCCTATCAAGTTGGTTATCTCCAACAAATAGAATTTTAATATCCATCGATTTCTACCTTATCGATTGATATTATTTATATCAATTGATATATGATCGTATAACTGATACCGTGCATATAATGGCAACCACCAATGTTTACACAAGCCAAAGCTCTTCTCGAAGGGCGGTGGCCATGGCGCTAGCTTTGGCTACTGCAGTGGTACTTTCGCCATTGTATGCAAATCGAAGAAATGATAGCAGTTATGAAACGACACTATGGAATTCTGGCTTTGTTATGCCAATGCTACTTGTAGGCCTTATTATTGCCATTAAAACCACATCATGCTCCTCTTCTTCTTCTTCGGCATCGTCAACACAATTGTTTCTATCCTCGGAACCTTCATGGGTGCAAAGAATTGGAAGTTCGTGGGGACTCGCTGGGGTTTTGGTGATGTTGATGGTTGTGCTTTCATGGCAAAATTCAGTTCAACACTTCTTCTTCTGGAGATAGAAACCAAACCAGATTAATTCAAACAAAATCCCTCTTTAATTTTTCTTCTTCTTAGCTTTTCATGTTGGTCATTATATTAATTTGTTGATCAACAGTTGTGTTGGGAACTCAACTAGATTTCATCAAATGAAACGCAATATTGTCTTTTATTCGTTTCTCACTTTGTGAAATCTTTCTATGTATTTGGATTTTTTCGTTGAATAAAAATATATAATTGTAGTACTTGTAAGTATTTTGTACGATTTGAGAGAAAGAAGGCCACTTCACTGTACGCAAATTCGTGTGAAAATCTCGAACAAAAGTTTGGGCATGGCCATCATTTTTTCTTGACTAATTGCAGTTTTAATATAATTTACTCTTGGGTCTGTCACTCACATGTTTCACACTTACGGTTAAGTTGGATGAAATGTTTAACTGTTCATTTTAATACACAAACTATATGAGGGTTATGTGATCATTCCCAAACATTAAGAGGTAAATCACACATATTTCCAAATATTAAGAAGAAAACCATATATGACCCAAATCATATATGACCCAAATCATAGGTAAGAAAGTGAAGTTTATCTTAAAAATAATCTAGCCTAAAAACAATATGCTCAATATTTTATCCAAAACTATATTGACGTGCCATAAATTTTAATGGGTAAGTTATATTTTTTATCTTGTTTAATTTAAATTTTTTTTAATTCACCACAACTGATGCACCATAGTAGAAAATCAATAGTTTGAACTTCTATACCTATGTCTTATTCTCCATAATTAAGGCTTTCTCTCCTATTTTGGGAGTTTCTTTGAAAAAAAATTATATTATATTTAATTTTCATTATTATAATTATAATTTATAAACTTTCATTGTAATATTTTATCTAAATTAAACTTTTAAAAATAAATTTGTAACGCCCTCAAAAAAAACCCATAAACCATCCAACAATAGCATGTTTAGACATAGGAAAATAAAGCATAAATATATTTCATCGGAGTAATCATTACAAAATATGTTACATGTTGACAACAAAAGTAAATGTCATATGGGCTTACAACTTTCCAAGTCAACACTTGGTTACAAAAAGAGAGTACTAACTCTATACAAAGAAAGCCCTTGGCTTGATATACATGTAATACATCAAAAGAAAAACAAAACAACAGAAACATTCTGTCTGCCTCTAGCCTCCCAAGCTATGTCCTTGGAGGTGGCATGCTACCTGTACCTGAAAATGATGTCCCATAAAGGGTGAGTCATAGCCCAGTGGAAATATACTAAACCAATTATAAACAATGACTAAAATAATAACATGCAATAGATGGTCCGCACTTGTATTCCAACGTTGTAACAAGCCCGCGGGGGACCTCGCCACAGCTCGGACTCGACTTTGTAGTCACGGTTCTAAGTCTGAACCAAAGAGTCCAAATCCGGCAAATCGTTTTGAGAAAAAACAGATTTTTGAAAGAAGTGCCAAACATGGACTGCTTTGCCAGATACAGAGTCGCCACCTAAATATTTTTTAAATGGGTAAATTATAAATACACGCCTTAAATTTTAATTAAAATACGAATCGCTCGTATAGTTTTAAAAATTACATTTCAGTTCTGAGATTTATAATTTTATAACAAATTGTTCTTTTTATTAATAAATCATCAAGTCAATTAACAGTTTTTAATGATATTAGAAATATGTTTCAATTAATAATTTAGGTAATGTTATTATTATATAGGAGAGCAATTATGAATTTCATTTTTTTAGTTAATTTTGTTAAATAAAAAATACTGATAAGGAAACATTTGTAATTTTCAAGCGAGGGCAATTTATACTTTAAACTAGGGGTGAGCATAGTCCGAATTGGACTGGATTGGGATAAAATCAGGACTAATCTATTATCTACGGTTTCTGAAAAATTAAAATCAATCTAATCCGTTTGAATCGTGGAACCAATCCAAACCAATCCATTTAAGCACGGATTGGATCGGTTTAGGATCACGGATTCACATAATTAAATAACAAAAAAATATATATAACACTTTAATTTCATAAAAACATAAACATAGTACTAGTTCCACAATAGCAACATAACTTTTTATAATAGCAACATACTATTAGAATTTAAGCAACCATAATAAAACTAATTCTATCATAAGTATTTAGACCATTACTAATTAAAATTAAAAAATAATAAACAAAAGTAATAAAAAAAGATACTATGTGAATTTAAGGTTGAGTTTAGTTTTATATAGAATAAGGCCCTGTTTGATTGGGGATATAAAGATTGGGATTGGATATTATATCCGGTGGAGTTCATATATCCCATGTTTACAAATTTTTTTTAAGGGAATATAATATCCGGTGGGATTGTATATCCTCCAAAAGTAGAGGATATACAATACCACACCCCCCCATTATATCATATCCCCTTGGTGGGGATATGATGTAAAAAGTCCAATTTACCCTTTTTTCTATCTAACATAATATAATTTAATATATTTTTTTGAATTTAATATAATATAATTATTGAATTTAATTTAATATTATTGAATTTAATTTAATATAATTTAATACAAATTTTGAATTTAATATAATATAATATAAAATTTTGAATTTAATATAATATAATTTAATACAAATTTTGAATTTAATATAATATAATATTATTTAATTTAATTTAATATAATATAATATAATATTATGAAGGCAATCTTGAAAATTACTTGTTATATTCCACAATATATTTTGTAAAACAAACATGCATAACATATATCCAATCTTATATATCAAGTCAACAAACATGACTTGAGGGATATACTATCCAATACCTTTATCCTGACTAAATCTCACATCATATTATATCCTCCATTTTATATCCAGTGAAACAAACGGGGCCTAAGAGAAGATAGTAGGCGGGAGAGTGTATATTAAAAATATAAACTATTTGTATAATTGGTTCCAGATTCCGGAACCGTAGGGTTCAATCCGGAACCAATCCGTGAACTACGGATTTTTAATTATTCAATCCAGAACCGAATCGGGAATTCAAAAAATCAATCTAAACCTACCGGATTAGACTGGACTAAATTAAATTACAAATTTCACGGATTCCTTAGTCAGCCCTACTTTAAACAAATCTTTACCCTTATTAAATTATATAAGATTCCATGAAATTGAAATTTTTTTGAAAAATTACACTGGATTGTGATTTCTCAAAAAAAAAAACCTAGCCTCTCCCCTCCCTCCTCTCTCTACCACCCTCTCTGATTTTCTTAGAGAGAGGGAATACACATCTTCTTAGAGAGAGAAAGACGAAACAGGAGCAAAACGAAGAGAGAGAAGAAGAAATCTTTTGAGAAGAACGACGCCATTGTTGTCCGGCGGAGCTCTCTCACGCCATAGATTGAAGCAGGTTCGTCCTCCAAACTCGCTATTGAAAGAATGAAAACAGGTTGAGAATTTTGAATTTTAGATTGAAAAGTTAGGGTTTTTGATTTGTAGATTCTTTTATGTGCATTGTTGCTGCCTTTGAGTTGCATAGTGGTTAGTGGTTCTCTATTAAAGATATAGATGGATTTCATAGTTGATTTGGAGCTTGATTTGTAGAAACCAGAAATTCCTCACTTTTAATTGTTTCAAGGTTTGCTTTTTACACATTTGGGTTGACCCATTTTTCATGACTCCAAATTTGATTTTACTTCATCTTTTTTTTTTCTCTCTCGCTTTTTTTCTTGTAATCTTTGTTGTTTGATGTCAAAACACACAATTTTAAAGTAGTATAATTATCAAACAAAACACACAATTTCATAAAATCAAGAGTCAGTTTTTTTCTTCAAATTGAGAACTTACCAAAATTTTCATTAAATTCGAATTTGATGAAAATATAAAAAGATGATGCAGTGGAGATGATTTTTTTTCCGCCAAGTTTAATAAAAAACGGAAATTTGGAATAAGAGGGAAATTTTCAACAAGATTTTAATGAAAATTTGATGAAAGGATTGGAGTAGTTCATAGTAAATCAAGTTTTTTACTCAAATTTTAAATCAAATTAGATGAAAAAATTGGTGAAAGTTTGGAAATGGTCTCAGCAAATTTGAATTCGACAAAAATTATAAAGGATGAAGCATTGGAGATGGGTTTTTTTTTTCTTTTTCTTTTTTTCTTTTTTCCCATCAAATTTGGTGAAAAGGGAAATTTGGGATAAGAGGGAAACTTTAAAAAGATATTGATAAAAGTTTGATGAAAGGATTAGAGTAGTTCATATCAAATCAAGCTTTTAACTCAAATTTGGAATAAAATTAGATAAAAAAATTGGTGAAGGGTTGGAGATACCTACATATGCCTGAAGTTGAACTTGGTAAAAAAAAAATGCTTTACTTTTATTGAAAGTAGTGAGGTATGTGTTGTTCCATGAAGTAGTTTTGCTTAGAGAATTGTGGAACCCTTTGCCTTGTACAGGTGAAAGGGACAGCAAAACAAATGGCAGATGGTGATGAGAACATGCCAAGGGATGCAAAGATTGTAAAAACACTGTTGAAATCAATGGGAGTCGATGAGTATGAACCTCGTGTTGTGCACCAATTCCTGGAACTGTGGTATCGTTATGTTGTTGATGTATTGACAGATGCACAGGTCTATTCCGAGCATGCTGGGAAAGCTGCAATTGACTGTGACGATGTCAAGCTTGCTATTCAGTCGAAAGTCAACTTCAGCTTCTCTCAACCCCCACCTCGAGAGGTAACTTTCCTATCCTTTCTGTGATGTGTGCATGTAATTTGTTCTAGACATTGGATACTTCATCTTGTTTTTACACTTGTTTCATGATTGTACTTGAATTATTCAAGAGTTGTTTCCCATAAATTTGTATATCGGTGTGGACTTTTCGCTTGCAATTTTAGTATGGACTCAATTTCAGCGAGGGTTGGGAAGTTTGGAGAAATTTGTCAATCCCCATTTCATGACTTCTCATTGGTAGAGTATTCAGAGAACCGGTTCTGCGTCCACAATTCTAATTTTTCCTGTTATGTCTGAAATGAGCAATGCAACATACCCTGAAATTTTACCCAAAAAAATCAATGTGTGGTCTAGATTCATTCTAGATGTATGGCTCGCTGTACAAAAATTGAATTTGGACCACACATACACTTTCTGGGCAAAATTCATGGTACAAATTGGGCTGGAATTCACCACGTGCTTTATCCATTTCATCTGACATTGCAACTTAAATGAAGTTTTGCAAAGAACATGTTGTACTTGATTGTTTGTTCTGTTGTTTTGGCTCTTGATTGTCCTCTTTGACACACCATTGAACGGTGTTTATTCGTATACCATTGTTCTAGTAGGTTTGAAACATCTTCAGATCTAGATTTTCTTCAGAGGAAAACAAAATTACCATATTTCTCTTTCCAATCCAATGAGTAGAAGATTATTGCTAGTATTTTGATTTGAAAAGTCTATAATATGCTATGCCCAACAATGCATCAGGTCCTGCTGGAGTTGGCTCGGAACAGGAACAAAATCCCATTGCCAAAATCAATAGCAGGGCCAGGAATTCCTCTACCGCCTGAGCAGGACACGTTGCTCAGCCCAAACTACCAGCTTGCAATCCCAAGGAAGCCAACTGGGTCAACAGCTGTGGAAGAAACAGAGGAGGATGAAGAGAGTGCTGATCCTAATTCCAACCCTTCCCAGGAACAAAAGACACAGTTGCCACAAAGTACTCCTCAACGAGTATCGTTTCCGCTTGTTGGAGCCAAACGTCCAAGATAAGATTTTCAGTGATATTACGACTTTCCTGTAAAATCTAACATTAGTGTTTAAGAAAATTCTATGGTTTATGAATTCAGTGGATTTGCACTATTGCTTGTTATAGTGAATTCAAAGAAAGTTTCTGTTTGTTAGTGTTCCAAGTGTTTTTGTATCAAGGAAGCATTGGTTTAGAGTGGAATACAAAGTTGTTACAATTGACTGGTGCAAAAGGCAATGACTGTTGATATAAATATGATGTGTTTTTAAGAAGATGAGAATTCTGCAGTATAAGGACTTTCGTTGTGAGGTCACCAGTTTGAACCCCATTAATCACATTATGATGGTGAATGTGTCTTAATTATTTATGGTTGTGTTTAGTTCATAAGAATAAGGGTGGTGAAATGATCATTCACAGTAGAATGTTTTTTTCAGATAATAATTCACAGTTGAATGTTGATTTATTTTGGAAAGATGGTAAAAAGTGACTTTTTGACTTTTAACCAAGCTTTTGGCTTTTTTAGACAAATGATTTGGGAAGTTGGTAAAAAGTGACTTTTGATTTTTTTCATTAATATTTGTTTATAACGTCAAATCATAATGAAATGACCAAAGTATCTCTAGCCAATTGAAAAATTATACATTTTTATCCTTTCATTTTTCATCTATGGAGGGTAATTTCGTAATTTTTCTTTTGGCTTATAAGAGCATCTCCAACGGTAGTAGGCATTTTACCTATCTGAATATTACTATAAAGTATATATTTTATTTTGCCTATCAACTGTTTTATGTTTTTACTCCAACCATGCTCTTTATTTTAGCTATTTATCCAAATACTATTAATTTTATAGAATGCCACGTCAACAACAAAGATGGAGGGAAATGATCCTAATGAATGAATACATTTTGCCTAGCGTTGAAGGCTAGCTACATGTAGCTAGTGAATATGAGTTGAGACAAAATGCCTAATCATATGCCTAGTGCATTGGAATTGAAAAAAGTAAATTACACTAGGCATTTTAACTAACAAGTATTATATGCCTAGTGCATTGGAGATGCTCTAACCAACATCCCAAATCAATTTATGATAAAAAAAAGTCACTTTTTGCGTTTTGGCTTTTTGCCAAAACGCCACTTATAACCAACATCCCAAATTGAGCCTTTGTTTGGTTTACTATAAAAATGATGAAAAAAGCATTTAGTGTGTTTAGTTTTAGTTTTCTGAATTCAGTTTTTTGAAAATTGAGTCTTTTGTTTTTCGTATTTTTTTTGTTCTTAATGAATATTTTTTAAATCTTAAGCAATTTTTTTTACTTTTTTAGATGTATCTTACTTAGATGTATCTAAATAGTAAATTATTTATAAAAAATATTTTAAAAGATTAATAAATATACAAAAATATAAAAAAAAATATACTGAATATATATATTTGTATTTTTGGTATTTAGTGAATTTTTTAAAGAGTTTTTTCACAAATATTATACTTTTTAAGTGTATTTTTGTTAAGTGTGTCTAAATTTTTTTAAAAATTTACTTAAAATATTAAAAAAATCAATGAAAATAAAAAAATACGAAAAATGAAAAAGTAGAATTTTCTGAAACATAAATTCTGAAAATTAGAAACAAACGGAGTGATTAATATCATAAATGAATAATTATCCTACAAGGAGATGAAAAACTGATAGATTTCATTTCATTCCATTTTTGTCAGTAAATTATCTTTCACCTTATAAAGTATGAATCATTTTGCATTTTGTTCCTTAAAGAAATATTCTGACTTTGATTCTTAAATTATTTGTCATTTTTTTACTTTGATCCAATTACCAATTTCCGTCATTATTAAGGTGCAGTATTGAAAATTTTAAAATTAAAATTTTCATTTTGGTCCTTCAAAAAAAAATTAAATTCTCTCACTTTGATCCTCGAATCAAAATCTAAACCCAAACCCAAAAACCAAACCCAATTTAATCTCAAAATCATCCCCACCCTACAACTCATTCCCAAAACTATCCAATCTCAAAATCAACTTCATATCAAATGAAAATGAAAAATTATCCGGAAATTACCAGGGTAGAAAAATTATCAGGGAATTACCAGGGTAAGTTGTCCTTACTGTTTTAGAGGTTATTAAAATAACAAATCTTTATGAAATCAAAATCTGTTTAAATAAGACATTATTTGGTATATGTAATAGCATGTGTAATTTTTCGTAATGTCAAAAAAAAATGTGTTTTAATAGTCCAAATAATTTTTCAAAGATAAGCAAAGAGATTGCAAATTGAAGTTCGAGGGCTAGAGGAGGAGGAGATCATGTGATGAGTTTGCGCCACTGGTACATAAAATTGGAGCCAATGTGGAAAAACAAAACAAGGCAGCTAATATAGCAATAAAATTAAACATTTTGCTCTTTGTTGAATCTAGTGAGTAATTGTTCTTCAACCCAGAACCAGAAAGCTTTGCCAATACTTATCATCTATATATACAAGTACAACTAGTTGTCACTACAACCGGAGGAAAAAAAACAAGCAGTGTCATCAACTTCTCCAGCCAACCATGTTACTAGCAGCCTGTCCTGAGGCTGACAGAGTAAGGCCTCTATCATACATCCGCTGGATCTCTTCCCTATACTCTGTCAATGATTTGTCAGGTATTGCCGGAGTGAGCTCCACCACATCCCCCATTTTTAGTTTGCAGGTGGGATCACTCACCGGCTTGTGATTCAACCTCGGCCTCAATTCTTCCTTCACAGGAAACCCATAAGAGGTCCATCTAAAGCTTCCTTGACAAGCTCTGTCCATCAAATCTAGGATGGTTGAGTTTGCTGGGAACTCCTGCACCGACATCTACAAAACCAAAATACCAAAATCACATGTTTATTCAGCAAAGAAAGGCGCAATGCATTTCTGCTAAGAGAATTAGCTACTTGCGCTCCATTTGTTTTGATAAAAAATACTTTCCTATGGGACTTTCCTATGGAAAATATTTTTCGCAAAAAAATGTTTTCCCATATTTGGTTGGGACCTTGATACTAATGTGTTAGTGGTTGTAGAAGCGGTGATGTCAGTGTGGTAGTGGTGGTAAAAATGGTGGTGGTGGGGCAGCAGCAATGGTGGTGGATGTGGTTGCAAAGGGGTGGTGGTGGTAGTATGGTGGAGGTTTTGGTCATCGTTGGAGGGTGGTGATGATACTAGTGGTACGGTGGTAATATTGGTGGTGATAGGGGGTTAGGGGTCTGATGGTTGGAGGGTGGTGGTGATACTGGTGGTAGTGGTGGTGATGTTGGTAGGGTGGGAGGTGGAGGTGGAGGTGGTGATGGTAGAGTGGTGTCGCTGGTAAGAGTTCAATCCAAAAAAGTTTCCCACCTTTAAAAAGTATGAAACATATTCTGTCCAAACAAGCTTGTTTTCGTTGACTACGAAAAACATTTTACTAGTAGACTTTCATTTTCTACTGTACCAAATGCTAGAAAATGAAAAAATATTTTCCAAAAAACATTTTTCGCAAAAACAAACAGAGCGTTAATAATCAAACAGAGCAGTAAATGTTCTACAAGGAAACAAACTGCTGAGTTTGAAACGTCTGGACAATACTCTAGCATCACCAAAACCATGTTTGTAAAAACCTAGCCAAATTGACCCCAAAACTAGTTGGACTTAAGTAAAAAAAGACTAAAAACAAACCTTGTCGTTTTCCATCAAGATGACAAAGACTGGTCCATCGGAGACGCAATCGAGTTTATAGGAATATGGGCAATCTTCGGAATGAGAAGGGAATGTGCAGGGTGGTCGTTTGATGGAGTCTGCGTAGCAAATTGTTGATCGATCCTTGCTCATCGTCTCACACTGCCACGTGACAACCCAACGGGCCCACTCAACCATTTGAAGCACAAAGGAAGGGTGTTTACAATCACCTTCCTTGTATCTCCAATGGGCGGCAAATCCAAACTCTGCTTGTAAATGCATCTCTTTTGTTCGAATCTGAACTTCAAGCGGAACCATGCCCTCCCCCATCACTACTGTGTGTAGAGATTGATATCTACAAATTAAGATCAAATTTAGAAGCAGAATAATTACATACGCTTACACACGTTCTTTGAGATATATATAACATACCCATTAAACTTGGGATGATTTATGTAGTCCTTGAACTTTCCAGGTACTTCGGACCACAACTGGTGAACAACTCTCAATGCCTTGTAACAATCTTCTTCTTTCTCAACAATCAATCGTAGACCGTGAATATCATGAATTTCATCCATGGTCAGTTTCTTTCTGCACGAGAGTAAATGTTATTATCTCCTCAATCAATTTAACTAATTTAGAAAATGTCATAATATAAGGATTAATGATATGGCCCAGATTTTCCAAAATTCACCACAAATTCAACACAACCATAATGAGGTAATAATGCCACTTTCGTTAACTATAGCAGTTATTTCATTTTCATTTTTCTTTTTTTTCATAAATCTGGGATTGGTATACATTACACACAGCACCCAGAAATTCAATTTAAAACCACTTGCAAGCTAGCAACTAATCATGATCAGAGCCTCATTGAATTATTTGGACAGTCAGACAAAAGCAACCACTTGTGTCTGTCACATTATTCACTCAGTAGAGAGACCCACAAAATGTTTTTCAGCAAATTTCTTTGAAGAATTAAACCATTTGCACATGCAAGTGTTCATGCATGTGTGTTTGTTGAGAGAGAGAGAGAGAGAGAGAGTACTTTAACATTTTGGCATAGATGCTATACAAGCTTTTGTGCCTCCCCAATAGATCATGGTAAGAAATGGCTGCATCCTCGAGAACTTGCTCTAGTTTCTCTACAGCTGAAGTAATCATTGCCTCGTCAAAGGAGTTTACAAGTTTGGAGGAGAGTTCTTCATGCTGATCTGGGTAGAGATATTTGAAACATAGATTTTCAAGTTTCTCTTTCCAACTACAGATCCCTAAACGATTGGCCAAAGGGGCAAAGATTTCCACTGTTTCTTTAGCAAATCTCTGTTGCTTGACCAAAGGTAATGCATCTAGTGTCATCATATTATGCAATCGATCAGCCAGCTTTATGAGGACAGCCCTTGCATCAGCCATTGCAAGGAACATAGTGTGCAGGCGATCTGCCTCAGCAGTTTTACTTGCTGTATTGTTGTCTCGTGCAAGCTTGCTCAAATGACTTAGCTTGGATACCTACCAAAACGCAATATATAATATTACAAGCTTTAAAGGAAGAATTAATTTTACCAGGACTGTTGCCAAAATATTGCCACCAAATTCACTTTTGTGCAACGCTTGTAAATGATACAGGAAAGAGAATACAATTCACACTTTAATCTATGTGTTTGAAATCCCTATATCTTCTACAGAAGGTTGAATTGTGAACAATGTGCACCTCTAATGTTTTCCACATAAACAAAAGGAAACAATCTACATACTCGTCCTTAGTAAGAAACTGTATGTGGAAAATTTACTAATAGAAAAAGAAAGAATAAAATCGAGGAAAGGAAAAAAAAAAAGGGGTTATCCAAAACTCCTCTAAATGTGAATTGCTGCAACACATAAGAAAACCATTTATTACACTGTTCCCTTTGGGAAGCAGCAGTGCTATAGGCTTTTTTGCTAATAGTAAGCAAAAATACACACAAGGCTTAGTAAATAGAGAAAGATAATAACTAGGGGCAAATAAGTTTCAAACAATAAAGCTTTTATTCACCGGCATAAGAAGACAGATAAGAATTAACTATCTAAACGTTCACAGACACTTGATATGTTGTGACCATTAGCACATGACCCCCTGATCTTTTACAAGGCTTTGATTCACCAAAAGGAGGAAGAAATAAGACGAAATTCATCATTCTCGAGCACATGCATCCTATGTTAAAAATAGCAAAACATAGACCAGGATACTAAAGCGCTACTGCTTAATGCTAGTTGATTAGTTAAAAAGAAACATGAAAATTAACTGTTAGAAAAATTGAGAAAAATTAAATTAATTGCCAATCATTTGTAACTTCAACTAAAAAGTTAGTACTATCTGCCACTAAAATTAAATACAAAGTGAACACTTTTCCACTCATTGAACCCATATTTTAATCACAACCCAGCATACAGCACCCTGTGAGAAACAATGACAGTGAAATTGCTTTTTAAGTGTGACAACCTAGTGAAGGCTACGACTAGACCGACATACAAAAAATATAAACATCTAACTGAGAAGTAATAGAACTCTCTCAGATATCCTCAGTTAGCAACAGTGATCCGACTGAAAATAAAATTTGTAGCATAATCTCCTTTTAAAGGCTGAAAGCAACATGTTTTGGAAATAATAATGCTAAATGTATATTGCTAAATGTAAGTTATATTTTATTTTAATTTTTTCATAAGCAAGAATAATGCTAAATGTTGACGGTAGATCATACTATTGGCTGATAATTTGCAGTTTCATTAACAGTAATTCAATAGACTACACTATCAAAATTTTCCAGTATTCAATAAGAAATCATTTATCAAAGTAATATCTCATACCCCTTCAACCAAATCAGCAACCCCAGCTCCAAATGTCTGGAAAATAGAGTCATAACTCATAGAAGAATCATCAAGTGTGTCATGTAAAAGCCCTGCAGCAACTACAGTTGAATTCGCCCCAATCGTTGCAAGCAGAACCGCGGTTTCAACACAATGCTGTAAATAAGGATCCCCACTCACTCGCATCTACAAAATCAACACACAAAAATCTCAATCCAAGCACCAAATTTCCAAACTAACAATTACCCTACAAAAACATTCAATTCCAAAATAGATTTTACCTGTCCTCTATGAGCTTTCTCAGCTTCATAGAAAGCCTTGACAACAAAATCTCCACGGAAAATCGGGTGTCTCGATTGAGCACCCAAAAGCAAATCTTTAACATATGGGTCAGAACTTGACTCCACAAAATTATCATCCATAGTAAATGGGAGTTCATCAATCAGTACAGACGACGAATCGATATCAAGCGAACCACCCACTTGAGCACTCGGCAAATCATAGTCCACGCAAGACCCTAAAGCATGACGAACAAACCCATTGAACCACCCATTAGTCCCCGATCGAATCGAACCGGAAAGACCCACATCACCACTCTTTTCGCGCGAAATTCTCATGGGTGGACTTCTCGAAGAACCAATTCCACTACTACTACACGAAACAGGGCCTTGTAATACAGATACAGGGCTCTGATCTTTCTTCAGAGATGAACAGAACGATGAGTAGCGAAATGAACAACCCAATTCGTCTCCTTTATCGTGCCACAACGATCCCAACTCTTCGCCTCCATTGGAGTAGCTCGAAGACGAGGCGTGTTTCACCGATTGCGATGAAAGTAGGCAAGAGAGACCACCGACGATCGGTTTTTGAGACGACGAGGCAGTCGATGAGGAAGACGATGATCGACTATTCAAATCGAAATCGTACGAGGAGTGAGAATTGATCTGGCAAGGATGTGGAGTCGAGCATACACTACTCGGTGGGCTAGCATAGAGTGCGATTGTTGGAACCACCATGTTTGACCTTGATTACCTCGCAATACCCACTTTCTACACCTGAATTTTGCAGAAAATTGATGATTCGATCGGGAATTGTGTGAAACCCTAGATTCTGAATTTATGTACAGAACAAATCGTCATTTGGGGAACCCTAAAAACGAAGGAATGTGAGGAAAATGAAGTGAAAATGCTAGGGGGGTTTGAGAATTTGAAATCATAAACAGTTATATACAAATTTAACAGAGAAAGGTTTGATCTTTGAAGGGGTGAGAAAAGAATCGAGAAATTTTTACTTTCCAGAGAAAATTACAAACTCTTAGGCCTAATTTCTGAAGAAAGAGAGTCAAAGACGCTTTGAATTTTTGAGAGAGAGAGAGAGAGTTGCGAAGTTTCTTCTTCTTTCTTCTTCGTTGATGATTTTTTGAGAGAAGAGAGAGGGGCTCCTCGATTCATCAACAGTAAGGTCCCAAATACAGCCCGTAAATTTCTCTTTACTCGCAACTGTTATATATATATAAAAATTCGTTATATGGACATATTTTCTTTTTTGGGCAAATTACATATACACCCCTCGAGGTTTGGCTAAATTACAGATACTCCCTTGAGGTTTCGAAAATTACATCCCGCCCCCTGAGGTTTGTATTTTCATAACAATTTGCCCCCTGAGGTTTATATTTCATAACAAATTACCCCCTAATTTCTTATGCAAATATAGCATTCAGGGGGAAATTCGTAATTTCTCAAACCTCAGGGGCATCTGTAATTTAGCCAAACCTCGAGGGGTGTATATGTAATTTGCCCTTTTTTTTTTGAACAAGAAAAAAAAGCTATCAGGTGTCATCATGCCCTTGGGGTGACCGATTGTTAGTCACGAATTAACTCTTACCAAGTGAGGGATCCATCACTAGAGCACTAATGGAGCTCACGCTATATGCCATAGGCCGTCAAGGGTTCGAATCAGAGGACAGAGAGGGGGTTCTCAAAAAAAACACTTCCACCTCCCTCCAGGATTCAACCCTGGGTCAAGCCTGTGGAGATGAGGTGCTTTCTCCACCAGGCCACCACCCCTGGTGGTATATGGACATGTTATTTAGCCTCCGTTTGGGAAGTGGGTTGATTTTTTGGCTTTTTAACTATTTTAGCCTAGGGTTAAAAAGCCTGATTTGGGAAGGATTTTTTGATTTTTCGGCTTTTTTGACTTTTTTGTGAGAGAAGAGTGTAATGATTATGGGTTGGATTTTATGTTTTGTTTTTTGTGGCTAAAATAGCCTATTTTATTTTTTGTGACTATTTTAGTCGGGCTGGTTTGGAAAGATGTTTTGGGTTAAAATAATTGTATAAGATAAAATAAATTATTTTAATTAAACAAGATAAAATGTCATATTTAATTTTTAATTTTTTTTTTTATAAAAATTAAAAAAATCAAAAAAATCTATTTTAAATGAAACTTTTTAACTCTAGAGTAGTTAAAAAGTCAACATCACAAATGAACTCTCACAAAAAAAAATCTTACTTTTTGATTTGAAAATTTTAAAAATAACTTTTTAAATTTTAATTCGTATTTTTATATTTTTAGTGATTTTTATAAATATTTTAATCATTTTTTATTTTATAAATATACTTAATTTTGATATACTTAAAAATTAGCTTTAGAAATTTCAAAAATTACAAATCAATGGTAAGGTCAAAAATAAATTGCAGAATTATGACAAAATTTATCACTTTGATTATTAAAGTTGGTAAACTTTAATATTGATTTGCAATTTATTTTACAAACTTACACTGAATTGTAATTTTTTCTACAAAATTCATTCAATATAACAAAATACAAAAATGCAATAGATTTATATTTATTTATTTTCATTTAGTGAATTTAAAAAAAAATCACAATTATTATACATATATTTAAAAAATAAAAAAAATTGAGTAAAATATTAAAAAAATACACTAAAAAAAATGAAAAACATAAAATTCAATTTTCAAAAAATTGAATTAAACCAAACAAATTGTGTTTTACACACTTTTAAAAGTTCATTTTTGTGTAATTATGACTTTATGCCTTATCTAAATTATTCTATTCTGTTATAGACAAAATTTTAAAATGCAAGATTTGATCTTCAGATTCTGTTATAAGGATATAGGATCAAATACTGGCCTTGATCTTTTGTTTTTGCTCTCTACAATCTTTGAGTTTCGTAAATTTGTCAATTTGTATTTGTGTGTATGATTTTATTACTGTTCATGTTTTTGTTGCATTCAAACATTATTATGGATATCTTTTATATGATTTTCACAATCTACTTCTGGAAGGGAAAAAAAAAATTGGCTAGGAGCCAAGAATTTGTGGGAGTTAAAGCCTTATAGAGAAAAGGGTGAGGCAGGATAGGTTGGAAGTCAAGGGAGGGGTAGGTGGTGGGTGGCTAGGAGGAGAAGAAAGAATTGGAGATGCTGGGTTAAGAACAATCGGAGGGTCGGAGGGTGGTGAGAAAAGATGGGTAAATGAGGGGTAATATTGCAATAGGAAACAGGGGTGAGTATGGTTCAGTTTGAATTAATTTGGAATGATATCATAATTAATCTATTGTCTACAATTTTATAAAAATTGGAACTAAATCAAATCATTAAATTATGAAACTAATCAAAACCAAACCATTTAAGTATAGTTCGATTCAGTTTAGAATCATGATTTCACATAATCTGTCCATAAAAAAAATCACATAACATTTTTAAAAAAAATTTAACCTATCATAAATTATAAAAATAATAATAACATGCCCACCAATCAAACTACTCTTATAATATTTCACTAGTTAAGCAAAAACATAACATTTAGAACATTAAGCAAACATTATTCAATATTAATTTGTCATAATTTTTTGAAACATAAACATGCACATTATTCCACCATAATATCTAGCAAATAAATATACATGATTCAAATTATATTGCCTGGTTCAATTCAAATCTAAAATCGTGAACTTTAATCCAGAACCAATACGCAGAAATTGATTCCCTAATTTTTCAAGTCAAAAATCTCTCACCTCACTTCGTTCCCATATCTCCCATCCTCGCCTACATGGATTTTTTCCCTTCTCAATGAAGAAGTAGAGCAGGGACATGTTTTGTTTGCCCGCTCTACTCTACTTTTTTTTTAGAGTTTTGCCCAAATTATATTTATATGTAAATAATATATTTATTCTTCAATTTTTTTAATATAATAAAATTAAACTACTAAAATAATACAATTACTATTCATTTACACTCATTTATTTTTCACCTTACATGTTTTAATTTTTATTAATTATAAATTATTATCTATAATATACTATATTATCTCTAATTATTTTAAATTACAAAATTAATCCTCCTAAACACAAACTTTATTTATCTCACTCCCAATATGATATGGGTCAAGAGTAAAATATTTCAATCTTGCTCCAAAGCCATTGTTAAAAAATGACGATGAATGGCCATTGCTAGAAGATGGTGATGATAGCAGGGCGGGAGAGAGGCGGTGGAGGGTAGGTGTTTAGAGAAATTTAAATTTTATTTATTTATTTATTCAATTCATTTATTTATTTTTGCCTTAAGTGATAATCAGTGTGTTTGGTTTGAGTTTTCTGGATTAAGTTTTTTGAAAATTGAGTTTTTTAATTTTCGTATTTTTTTATTTTTAGTGAATATTTTAAAATTTTTAAACATTTTTTTTTACTTTTTTAGATGTAATTTACTTAGATGTATCTAAAAAGTAAAAAAATTGTGAAAAAATATTTTAAAAATTAACAAATACATAAAAATACAAAAAATATACTAAATTTTTGGATTTTTTTTTTTTTTGTATTTTTGGTATTTATTGAATTTTTAAAAGATTTTTTCACAAAAATTATACTAAAAAATAAAATTTTAACGAGGGTAGAAATAGAAACAGATCATGTAGGTGTATATAGAAGTCCCGAAAATTCTCTCACCTCTCTAGAACAAGTGTGAAGGACGTGTAAACTGTGATTTCTATTATTGCGTGATGGGTGAGACAGGCACGTGGCAGCCGACAAGCAGCCACAGCCGACACGTGGTCAACGGTTACACTGCACACATCTGTCTTTTTTGACGGTCGTCTGTTACGCTGATGTTGAGCTGTCATTCTCTGCATGCGCTTTTACTTTGCTGCCTACTCCAATCTTCCATCACGTCCGCAAATTAACGCGACTGTTGTTTATATCAAACGGTAGGCGTGACTTCTCTGCTTGATATACTACTTAGGGGTGGACAACGGTTTATCCGAACTGTTCAAACCGCCCAATCCGTCCAACCCGCATATAAATGGGCGGTTTCGCAAACATAATGCGGGCGGATGCGGTTTGAAATATGACAAATTTGCGGGTTGCGGGCGGATCGCGGTTTAAACTCGCAACCCGCAAAAATCGCCCGCACTTTAATTATTATTATTATTATTATTTTTTATATACCAACTTTGTAACTTTTACAAGAGCACCATTATATTCTCTATGACACTAGGATCCTTATTTTTAAGTATTTCTTAACTTTCTTAATGTCGTAGAATTATCAAGTCCTAAACTTAGTTTCTTAAATAATTTTCATTGGTGATTCATCCACTTTTTCCTAATAAAATTTTCCTTCTAATGGTCGATAGAACTTATAGTTTGATTATTGATTAATGAACTGGCAATTCTAATTGAGTACAACCTTTAATGCATTGATATACATTTTTTTCATGACAAAAATACTAGTGTAGGGTCTCTTTGTTTTGGGTACTTTCATTTAATGCATTGATATTCAATTTTTATTTGTAAACTCATCAAAAAATTGTTATCACAAATATATAAAATGAATCTGATGCCTAAATTCGCTGGGAAAAAAAACCTCGAAAATTAATTTTTAAAGAAAAAAGTGTAAACCGCAAACCGCCCGCAACCGCTCGCACATTTACAAACCCTATCCGCACAAACCGCAAACCGCACTGCGGGCGGTTGCGGGTTGACTTTTTCCCAAACCGTATA